CATGCCTGAGGCCCCCAGAAAGGGGAGGAGTGCCCTAGACTGCGCCTCACCCCCCGTCTCTGCCCCCCCCCCCAGCTAAAGCCAGCGGGCACACCATGCAGGGAATCCAGCAATTCCTGCGACCTGCCAGAATTCTGCACAGGGACGAGCCCTCACTGTCCCGCCAATGTCTACCTCCACGACGGGCACGCCTGCCACAGCATGGACGGCTACTGCTACAACGGCGTCTGCCAGACCCACGAGCAGCAGTGCGTCACGCTGTGGGGCCCCGGTGAGGACAGCGCCCCCTTCAGGCACCGGGGAGCTATGCGATATCTTATCTGTCATAGCATCCTGTATTGTTTCTTATAGTGATTTTTTTATTAAGAGTTACTGAACTGTACTGATATTTTTTTTAAATGTGCTGATACAGATTTTAAACAACCAAAACATTTAAAACAATGTGATTTACTCAGTACACCAAATGTTTCCAGAAACATGCAGTTGTTATGTTCTTGATGGTATGGATGCCTAACTTGTGATGGGCTGGTCGTCTTTGCAGGGCTGCCTGTGTTTCCTGGGGTAGGTTCCAGTCCCACTGCCGCCCTGTACTGGATATTTTATTATGTTTACTTATAACATTCAGGTGACTTACATAACTTATTGTTGACAGTTAACTGTTTAAACAGCCAGAAATTACAGAAGTTATTTAGGTTAAATGGTCTGCTCAAGGGTCTAACAGCAGTTTCCCTCCCGGGACTGGAACTAACAACCTTTGGGTGCCAGGTGGCGCTGACTCCCACATGCATGGTGTCCTTCCCTGCAGGTGCCAAGCCGGCGCCGGGAATCTGCTTCGAGCGGGTGAACTCAGCCGGGGACCCCTATGGGAATTGTGGAAAGGACCCCAGGGGCTCCTTTGCCAAGTGCGATCCACGGTGAGGACTCACCGGGCGCCGAACTTCCCACGGCATCCAGAGGGGGGCGCCACACAACAACCCAAAAACAGAAAAAGAAGCCTTCGGATCGAGTTTACTCTCACTTGGACGGATAGATAGTGCTTTTGATGATTTACTTGAAGTTTTTTTTCACGGTTTTCATTTCCATATCCTTTAAATCTTTCATCAGTCGTCTCATCATTTACGTAATTGCCCTAATGACGTGGGATCTGACAGGATGTGAGCGAGCGCTTGTGTGAGTAACACGTGCAGCAGAAACATATCCGATGAGAGTTCGTAATAAGCAAGAACCAGAGAAATACTCGGACGGAATCCCGACATTCACGCTTCGGAGAGGCTCCGCGGCGAGCAAATTTAATGGCACAAAATGGATTATCGGTCAATTTATAAGCCACAAACCTTCAAAGTTACGGGGACGACAGAGGTGCAAATGGCAAATTGATTGGATGCTTTTCCTGCTGGGAGTGTGACGGTTTGGGGGGGGGGGGGGGGGGGGGGGGCGACATCCAG